CAGTATAGGCCAAGTACAATGGGGCGCCCTTGCCAGGCGTCCAGGAGTCGCCCTTTTGAGTACCACCACTACCCATCCAGATCAGCCCTCAGCCCTGCACAAAACCCCTCTATACGATTTGCACCTTGCTTTGGGCGCTCGCATGGTGCCCTTTGCTGCTTACAGTATGCCCGTGCAATATCCTGCTGGCCTGCTGGCCGAGCACCTACACACCCGCAGCAGCGCGAGCTTGTTTGATGTTTCGCATATGGGCCAAATAGCGGTGAGCGGGGAAGGGGCGGCTCAAGCACTCGAGGCCCTGATGCCCATAGACGTACAAAGTCTGCTGCCAGGCAAACAGCGCTATGGGCTGCTGCTGGGCGATGCCGGTGGCATTTTGGACGATTTGATGTTGACACGTCGCGATAGTGATTACTTACTTATCGTCAATGGTGCGTGCAAAGCGACTGATCTGACTCACATCCAACAGCAAATAGGTGCCAACTGCACGATCGATTACTTGGCCGAACAAGCCCTTTTAGCCCTGCAAGGCCCGCAAGCGGTCACTGCCTTACAGCGCCTGGTGCCTGGCATCGAGAAGTTGGTTTTTATGACCGGTGGCGTTTATACCTGGCAAGCAACGTCCCTTTTTATCACCCGAAGCGGCTATACAGGGGAAGATGGTTTTGAGATTTCAGTACCGGCTGCGCAAGCTGCGGATTTGGCGCAGGCGCTATTGGCGCAAGCTGAGGTGAAGCCCGCAGGTTTGGGCGCACGCAATTCTTTACGCCTGGAAGCGGGTTTATGCCTTTACGGCAGCGATATGGACAGTCGCACCACACCTGCGGAGGCGGCACTCACCTGGGCCATCCCTAAAGTGCGTCGTACAGGGGGGGCTCGCGCGGGTGGCTTTTTGGGGGCCGATATCGTGTTGCCACAGCTGGATGGCAGCAAACCCTGCTCCCTTGTGCGCGTGGGCCTGGTTGCACAAGCGCGCATACCCGTGCGCGAGCCTGCCACTCTACAAACAGAAGGAGGCGAGCCCCTGGGCCACATCACCAGCGGTTTGCTCAGCCCTTGCCTGGATCAAGCCATCGCCCTAGGCTATGTGCCGCCCGCCTATGCAGCAGCAGGCACCCTGGTTTACGCCTTGGTACGCGGTAAGCCCGTGACAATGAAGGTCACGCCGCCGCCTTTTGTGCCGCCGCGTTACTATAGAGGCTGATCCCCGTATATCTACTTTTGAAAGGAATCTAAACATGGCTTTCCACTACACCGCCGATCACGAATGGCTGCTGATAGAAGGCGATACTGCTACCGTAGGCATTACCCACCACGCGCAAGACGCTTTGGGTGATGTGGTTTTTGTAGAGTTGCCCGATGTGGGAAAAGTCTTTGAAATCAAAGAGGTGGCTGCCGTGGTCGAGTCGGTTAAAGCGGCGGCCGATGTCTATATGCCGCTTAGCGGTGAAATTGTGGAGGTCAACAGTGCCTTGGCCGCTGATCCCTCCTTGGCGAACACCGATCCGCAAGGCAAAGGCTGGTTCTTCAGGGTCAAACTGGCGAACACAACAGAGCTGGCCGGCCTATTGGATGAAGCCGCCTATAAAACCTTACTTGCCCAAAGAATCATTTTTCTG